AATGCAATGATTAAAATACATTTTTCTATGCTTTAAGTGTTTTTTTAATTTCAAATTTAGTCTGTACGCAGACTTTTGTGACTAACTGCATATATTAGATTTACATACAGCACTGTTCTAACATAGGTATTCTGTCAGAAAATCGGACATTTCGGAAATGACATACCTTTTTTGTTTTCATATTTCGATCCTACGATTCAAATTATTTCTAAACATTAAATTCTGCAGAAATTGGTGAATAATTAACGGAGAAATTTAAAAATTTATCTTCGCTAACTTTTTTCAGTTTGCGGCAAGAACAATTCTTTTGGCGAAATTCTTAATTTACAGTAAATAACCTTTTTTCCTTTCGCTTTCATTGTGCAGGAGCGGAAGAAAAGCTGCCTCGTTTGTTCTTTCAAGTAATTTTAACAACGTACGAAAACCACATTGTAGAGTCATGAGGACTTTTTTGATTCTGAAGCAGGAGACGTGAAAAATGTGCAGTGCCCTCGACGGGATTCGAACCCTGGACCTCTAGAATACTCGTCAAATATGTTTCCAGTTACTCCACAAAGGCCATGTGGAAAGCAGGTAGAAAATACCTTAGATATATACCATGCCAATAGAAGTCCTTATCCAGCCTTTATTTTCATAACCGTTGGCCATAGACATGTACTTCCAGTTTCAAAAATGTTTTAAATGACACAAAAACTCATATTTTCGTATTTTTAAAATTAAAGAAATTTCATTTTGTATACGAAATTTAGCTTTTCACGCATTGCTCCGCTATCTATACTTATATTTAGGAAAATTATGTACCCATTATAAAAAATAAATCACAGAAAGTTTGATTCCCATGCGAGAAAAACTGATCGAGATATTTGATATTAACTCAAGAGTAGTATTAAGGGGGTGTGCACAAATTGAAGAGAGGAATGTTTAAATATGTACTTCACTAAAAAGCATATATCGTTTAGAAAAATGTTTCTGATGTTAAAAGATTCCGTGACGAGCATTTCTACGAAAATTATGAGGAAAAATATTGATAAATATAATTTTTTTGAAAATGGAAATGGGAAATCTTATTCACAGAATTTTACAGAATTCGTGTTTTAGAAAATACTGACTGACTTCGGCACTCGCACGCAGCCAACTCATAATATTATTTACATTAATTAAAAATGAAAAATATTTCTAATTTAATAACATTGTTGTATGATTATTAGATTATGATTCTTCAATAATAAAGCTTCATGAGAATACTGATAACGTATTTTTAGACCTATAAATTATTTGTGGAAACTTATAAATTATTTGTGTGCAAATTCTTTTGGTGTATCAAATGTAATAAAATTATAAAGTAAAGACAGCTGACTGGAGGCGGAGACACTATCGATCTGTCAAGAATGGTTTGTTTTGATTTATTCGATTAACAGCAAATCACATTAGTGTTATCTTCCCAAGGGAAAGGATTTTTCACAATCATAGTATCTCGTTTACTTCGTAGAAGGAAGTAAAAATAATGCACAGTAAAAACTTGCTTAATTTATTGTGCAAAATATTTTAATATAATGAGAAAAACCACTCGAAAAAGTTCGTAGCAAGGATAATAAAAGTAGGTTCTAGTCTTAGTACTTTCTTAACGGGCGTAGATTCGAGAGTTTCAAGAAGATTAGGAGTGACATTTTTTTGTTTACTTGTTGAAGGAACAACGTTTTCTTTGCAGCATTTCAGTTTATTAAAATTTTCACCATTTTAGAAAATGCGAGACACCGATTTGTATGATAAATATATGAGGCTGAAAAGGTAAAACTATTCAAAGCAAGTATCCAATGTTATGTTTTGAAATAATTTCTTGTGGAGAAACATATAACTGCTACCTATCCCACCCTCCAAATAAACTGGCTAAAAACGTGAAACACTAGTCTCATTATATACTCTTTTGCAAAAAAATCGAAGCACCATGAAGGAAGTGGTTGTTTTTGATGAAATTGAATATGTATATAGCTCATACACAGATAATAAAATAATTAAAAAACCAAGGTCATAGTACCTGTTCACGGCTCACAATCACCCATTGAGTGTTCAAATTAGTAGTAGTCGAACCGCCCTGGCGGCAATGCATGCTTGAATTTGTTGAAGGCAAGGAGTCGGGGTAGAGGCTTCCTAATGTCATCCTGCGACACATTCTGCCAGGCATTCACCAGTTGTCGCTCCAGATATGCAATTATTTGTGGTGCCCGAATCTGGCGGCCTATCCATGTCCCAGACATGCTCGATTGGTGAAAAGGCTGGTGACCTTGCTGTGCCAAGGAAGAGTATCAGCTACGCAGAGAAACAGTCCAGAGATATGCGAGCGGTATGTGGCCTGGCTTTATCTTGTTGTAAAAAGGCCCCAGGATCACGTGCCATGAAGGGTAATGCAACCGGCCGCAGATGATATCAACATATCATTGAGCTGTTCAAGATGTACGGAAGATGACTAAAGATGACCTGCTGTCATAAGAAATAGCGCCCCACACCATCATACCAGGGGTTATGGCTGTAAAACAAAGGCTGATGGGGACCGCTGGTCCCGTCCTCTCCAGACACGAACACGGTGGTCATTTGCTTCAAGACTGAAGCGGAATTCATCGCTGAACCCAATACGATGCCAGTCTGAAGGCAGCCATGATGGCGTGGCTGTAGTGCGTTGAATAGTTGACAAATGTTGATACCGTTAGGGCTGTTCGAACCTGGCGAACAATCATCCTATCTTGCCTCGCATTTGTGCTCCTTGGCCCTTCAAGAGCCTTCATTTCGTCGGCAATTTTCTTCTAGTAACCATCGCTGCCATCATCTTTGCACAGCAGTGTTGTACGCTGCAGGTGGCTGCCTGTTGCTCGCGTATGACCACCCAGCTTCATACGCAACCCTACAATGGGACCACATGTTTAAGTCGTTTAGTTGTCTGTAAGGTCGTCATCGTAATGGCATGCTTTTAGTTGCTTCTTGAAGGAATTATATTAGGGCAGCAACAAAGAAAGATAAATTTTCCTCCTCTGTTACTGGTTTTATACTTTGCGAATTGCACACTAGAAATGTACGCTATGCTCGCAATTCCTGTTCATTTGCCTTGAAACTTTGATCATTTGCGTGTTCGATCAAGATGCTTTTGCATACGAAATTTCGTCGCGATCGCAAAAGTCCTTCTTGGTGCTTCGCTTTTGCAAAAGAGTGTATATATATATATATATATGTTGTATGATCTTAAATTCATTTAGTGCGAAAACAAGTTACTACTACTTGCGCAATTGCTGCAAAGTAAGCTAATAATAATTTGTTTACTAAATAATATTGATTAATTGATTATATTATCTCCTAAGTTTAATTAAATTCTACTTTAATTAACTTAGGAGATAATATACGCAATTAATCAATATTATTTAGTAAATAATATATATATATATATATATATTCTCAGGCTGTATCGGGCTAGGTTGAGCTCAGAATTTTTATTCTTGTATGTGGGTAAATTTTGCATTTTCGCTTTAAACGTAGTTTAATTATATTGTTCTTATGTCCCGGCTAAGGTTTTTTTATAAGTTAATCTGCATGCAATAGTTATAGAATTATCAACAATTTAAAGGTTTAAGTTGAGCTAGGCCTAATGAGGCCGCCATTTGTTTACATTTGGAAACTGTTTATAGAATGATAAATAAACTCAGTTTCTGCACTACTACAGTGTCTATTTGTTTTGTAGGACCAAAAGTTAACTTTAAATTTTGTGCATCAAAAGTTTGATCTTTGGTGTTTTAGCTTTTTCCGTATTTTACAATTTTTAATGAAGATGTTTCGAGTTTTTATGTATTTTTGCCTAGCCGGGAAGTGAGAATTGAATTGATTCAATGAGAAATATGTTTCTAATGAAATTCGAGGAAATATGTTTAAATGGAGTGTAGCAAAAATTGTGTACAATTTAGTAAGCCATATAAGGAAGTCATGTTGTGTCTACATCAGCTATTTTTTAAAATATGTCGAAGGCAGAAATATCAAGCTAGATGAATAAGTACTTTTAATACTTATTAAGGAAGGAAGTTATTTATAAATCCACGAATTTGTGTATTTTTAAATTAATTCGTCTGATTTTTTTAAAAATCAAAGTTACTAAAATTTAACAATTTTAAGCTTTCCAATTGAAGTTTATTCTGCAGTTTAGTTTCTAAACACAATCAAATCTATATGAATTGTATGTATGCTGAGTAATTTCTTTTAAAATGTCATCAAACACAAGTAATCTGCTCTGTAGAAGTTAGTGCTGTTAATTAATACAAACGGTCGCCAAATGTAAATAAATTGAAGACATCGGATTGAAAAAAAAAAGTTCACATAAAAATAAGGTGGGAAGAATTGCGAGTTCTTGATTAAAAGAGAAGCATTTATTTTACTTTCAGCCTGCTTCTGTGTGGAAAAACTTTTCCCTCAGTGCACATTATTTTTCCTTTCAGCTAATCTGCCACTGGGTGAAAAGACACCAAACTTCGTATATTTGAATACAAAGGTTGTCTAAAACGTTACGTATGTGCCTGCGTCATTAGCGCTTTCTAAGGAATCATGTGAAAAGGATTAATTTTGAAATGACGCAATTTATAGAGTTTTATTATAAGCAGTTACTACTTTTAGAACAAAAAGGAAAATAACCAACTGAAAAAGAAGGGGCTATTGAAAATTAATATTACCATATTATATTATCTACTTTTTATCTTGCATATATATAGATTCAAATTTATCCTATTCATATTTATATTTATCATATTCAATATATGGGTATGCTTTCAAATACACTACTGCTGAATGGATAGTAATTATTCCTATTGTTTATTGTGTTGGCTCAACGTGATTATTGTCTTCGCTTAGCTTGCATTATTTGATGGACTGAATTATTGCGTTAAGCGATGTTTTCTTGTATTTTATTTCTGTATCTCAGATAAATTTTATTTGCTAAGTGGAAAAAAGTAGTTCTTGTTTTGTTTTTACAGGTTAGATTTTGGATTTGTATGAATGAAACTCTTGCAGGTAAGTATCATTTATGAAATATTTTTTTTTTAGTTTTTATTTTCTTCCCAATTGTATGTATCATGAAATACTGCACAGTAATTTTTGAATTCTCATTAGTTTCCAGTTTTGAAAATATACACCCAATTCTCTTTTACACGAAAGATAAATTCTCCAGAAATTTTTGAGGAAAATAGTAAACAAAAAAGGGGTAATAATACCTATTCAAAAAAGGGAAGTATATCCCAGTAGTAAATAAACACTGATCTGTTCTTATCCTCACTCCTGGTACCCCCCCCCCCCCCCTTTTTGCTTTATTGAGCATCGTTTTCTTCACACTTACCCCACATAGAGTTTAACTACAGAATTCATAAATTTTTTTAAAGTATTTTTACTATTAAATAAATAAATTGATATTTAATATTTAATATTTTAATAAATTGATATTTATGATTTTTACTATTAAATAAATAAATTATTTTTACTATTTTTACTATTATTATTAGTTTTTTTTTTTTTTTTTTTTTTGATTTATTTATTTATTTATTTTTACATAGCAGCATATGTGTACAATTTCCGAAGCAATGTTAAGTGTCCGCATATATTTTATATTTTTTTAGCTTTTTCTCAGATCATCATATCAATACTCGCTTTGAAATCATTGAGTTTGTTAATCAAAAATTCATTAAAGTTTTACAAAATTTTAAACATATAATAAAACAGATTCGAAATTCGGGCTTCCAAGTGCCCATGTTCGGTTGGAAGACTACGTTATTCAAAATTTGATGGCTCTATTATCGTTGTTTCTTCACAATACGAGAAACATTCTTGCATTCATGCAGATTCTAGTTTCTTTAAATGTAATACATGGCGATAATATTTTGTGGCAACAGTTTGAAAAGTGAATCGACACAAAATGCGGTTTGGAAATTAATAGCCCTTCTAGACTATCGTCCTTTGGCCTCATAAAAACTTGATTTGAACCGTATTTGAAAGCTTGAAAGTATGTTAATTCTAAATCTTATTGATGCGTTCTGGTAAAGTAATTACGAATATTCTTAATGTATGAGAAACAGGGAAAAACATTCTTTCATAGTTTACAAATATTCTGTAAAAAGGCAGCGAAGAGAAAAGAAATTTAACATTTTCTCATTTTCTTGCAGCTGTCAAAAATGCATAAATGTTTTCAGTATTTTCAATTAAATCAGGGGTTACCAACATGGTCGGTATTGACGCCTTGGATGTCAGTGAAATTTTGAAAGGATCAGTAGCGATGAAGATCTCGACTGGGAATATATAGCCGAATATGCAGTAGCAACTCATCATCGTAATCAAGAGCTTATTGGTTACAAAAACGGATTATTAATAAAACTTATAATTAATAGTTTATTAATATAGAGTTTTATTATTCAAAGTCAAAACTCATTTAAAACACATATATATGCTAACGTTTTGGAATTCAAAAGTCATTCTGGAGAAAATCCCAAAATAAAAATTTTTACCGAACCGACATTACTGACTTTTCCTTCTTTTTCCCTAACGGAAGCAGGCTTTAATTTAATCAATATTTAATTATAGAAAACAAGAAACAGGTTGAGTATTCAGAAACTGGTGATTATAGAATAAAACTGTTTATACCTGATATTGAAAAAATTGCATCAATATATCAAGCGTAGTCATTACATTAATTGAAATTGAACAATCGAAAAAACATAATCTGCTATTTTGTTTCTGAAACTTGTTAGGTCAAAAGCGGGTATTATTCTCGAAATAAGATCCGTCGAATCACTATAAATGCGTCGTTTCACTTTTCATTTCAGTCTTGCAATTTGGCAAAATGTAAGATATGTATCTTTTAAATTAAATCTATGTGTTGTGGATTAACAAACTAAGCTATTTGCAGTGATGCAGTTGAAAGCAATGATGCAGTTCTTAAGAATATTCGTTTCTTAACATTGAATCAGATACATTTAAATAACAAAATGCACATAATTCATGATGTATTTACTCGTAATTAATAAAATTCATTATTTTCATAAAGTGACATTACATTATTTTTTTTATTATTTATTTAATATTTTGTAAAACTTTAATGAATTTTTGATTAACAAACTCAACGATTTGGAAGCGAGGAGTAGCAACACTGTACGAAATAAAACATTTTTTATCTCCAGGTCGCGGGAATGTCTATCGGAAATTCTAAAGATATGGTGTTTTAAAATATTTTGCGATTTTGTAGTTTAATGAAATTTTTTGTGGCATAAGGGTGAAGAATGTGATATTTAATAAATAGAGCTAACGTACAAAACGTTAATGATAAAAAGATAAAAAAAAAAGTTTCGTATGCTATCTTACTGAGGGATGTGAACATTGATATGATGAATTGGTTAAAGACTGGGAAAAAAAGGAAATGTTATGTTAACACATACACTGCTTTGAGAATTCTAAGCAGATGTTGCTATGATGCTTCTAAAATTCTTGTGATTTTGCTGCTCAGTTGTATGTGGCGAAAGTGAAAAGAAAACCATGCTTAATAACAGAGCTAAAAAACAAAAAGAGGTTAACTGGAGTGAGTACAAGAGCAGACTGGTAGGACTGATTGCTCAGCGAGAGCGTAAAAAGAAAATTTAACAAACCCTTTAAGGCAACTGGTTGAAATCTGAAATCTTTCAGAATCTTTTATTTTTTATTTGCAAAATTAAAAATAATAATAATAATAATGGAAAAAATAATAAAACATAAATTTAATTAACCTTTCTGTTTTCCTTATACCTATACTTAATTTCTGATTGTTATTTTTCAAGTTATTTATGTACAATTACTTGTATTGCGATTATTTTGCGTGGTGTATATTATAAAGAAAAATGGAAGGCGGTCGATGGAGAAAACCCTTCTTAAAAACAGTGGTCTTGGGGGTTCGCCAAACAAGTACACTCACTATCAGTTGTAAGTGTACGACCGTGCATCATGTGAGTGCGAGGTCCACTCATTGGTCGCTGTGTCTGGTTTTGCTAGCGTCTGAGAAGCGTAACATCATAAATATACTGGCTTTAATACCCATGAATATTCCACTATTGTATTATAATATTATATTATAATTATTACTACTATATTGTATTATATTATATTGCATTATATTACACTGCATATCATTTCATTATATTATATTATATTTATTAATTACCTTATATTACATTATGTTATTTGGCATTGCATTATATTATATTACATGGGATACAAATTATAATCATTTTCGTCTTAGGGGTATCTGTACCATTAGGTTGTTATAATTTTCGAGCTGCTACCAGTGTAAACGGAGATTCAAAATGTGCACAAAGATGAAACAAAGAATTTTAATCAGTTTACTTTTTTTTAATCTTCTTTGACGCATTTTGACAGCCTCCTCGGTATGCACATGTTTATATTCTAGCATTTCGAGTGTAAAAACAAATAAATTGCTGAGGTATTTCCTTTCGCCGGCCGTCAATCAAGTTAGCGCAAAGCAGCAGAGGGTCGAATCAGCGCGTAGCTCTAAATGTACCACTCCTGCTGAACACAGGCCTTACTGTTTGGAATTTTTTTTCGTTGTTAACTTAAATGACGCTTGATGGCATTAAAATTTGTTTTTATTTTTGCTTTGTTAGCATTCATATCTTTCATGTTTAGCACGAGGTGCTAAAGAACATTAATTTAAAGATAAAATATTGTTATTATTTTATTAATCATTGCAAATTGTCTAACTAAAACCCAAAAATGGAAAGAAGAAAAGCGAATGCATACTATACTATTAGATTAACAGCTAAAATCTCCTTACTCAGTAGCGGGAATAGAGAGAAGAAAGAGAAATGAATAATGTTAGATTAAAAGTTAAAAGTTTCTTCAATAGTTGTGGGAATGACGAAAAGGAAATATGTGTCAACTTAACAACAGAGGGAAACTCAAGAATGTTTTAGCTAACTGATTCTTTCCGTCGAATAGTTATAAAATTGCACGAGGTTTACATAAATTTAACTTTCGTGACGTTCATTTTTGCAATTTTATATTTAAAAACCTCATTACTGTTATTAAATCATAAGATTATTGTATTCCTTATCATTTGTTTTAATATACATTGGTAAAACAAGGCCAGCCTTAAACTTTCGCGCTAAGAAGAATAAGACTTACATTGGGGGTGGGGTAAGGATAACAAAGAAACTCGTTAATTGTTCATTGATCATAACTGCTGGTCAAAAAGTCATATCTACCATTTTTCTGCGGCTAAAAGTATTAAAAAAGTTTTTTTCAAGAATTTGTTTCTTAGCTGATTTTCGTTATCTTTTCGGTCAGTTCCTTTCTTTTTTTGATCATTCAGCTAGAACATTCTTGAATTTCTCCTCTGTTGTTCTCCCATAAAGCACATTTTTAACCTTGTCATTTCACCTCCCACAGCTAAAGAAGACTTTGGTTTGGATTTCGAAATTATAATTCTGAACATCTACTTAACGTTATGCCGATTACTCTTGTTTGTTATTTGTTGCTTTAGAATTTAATTCTTCGCCCCTTTCCTTTCGATAAATATACCTCTTATGACAGTTACTTATATGACTTATATGACAGTGATAAAAAGCTGATATAGCTCGTTAGTCATGATTTATTAGACCAGTCTCATTCAGCTTTTTTTTTTTTTTTTTTTTTTTCGACGGTATGTGCTGGAAACAAAATCAGTACTTTTAGTGTGTTATCTGATGAAACGAGAAATTTATATCATACGTAAATTCAAAGGAACGATACCTATCGATATTTTGCTTTCATGGTAGAGTTTCTTGATAAGTCTTAACATATCCATTGATGTCATCGAAAGCTAATTTAGTTCTCTTTTTTCGTATTTTGTTTTTGTCAGACGCACGAAAAAGAAAAAATAATCATTCTCTTCGTAGAATGTGTATGTCTGCAGTGCACTTATAAGTAAACGTCTGAAGTGAAGTCTTCTGAGTTACGTCTGGAGCGCATTTATTAGTAAACTCCTTGACATATATATACGTATTTACTCCAGTGTCCCATCCTAGATTTTTAGAGTAATGCTTTGAATTTTTTTTTTTTATATAATCAGGTAATTTCCCGCTTCCTCATGCTGTTCAGAAAGCCAGCTCCTGTATAAATTAAAAAAAAAAAAAATTAAAAAAATTCTGATGTGGCCCCAGACTTCTTTGCATGGTCTATTATTATTACTATTATTTTCCAGTGGCGGGCTCAGAAATTTGTTGGCCACTACTAAGTCGGTGGTCTCTTTATTATGGAGGCACTTAATAGGTGGGCCCCCATTCTTTTATGTGAAAGGACGGATAAATTACATCCATGCTTTATCCGGGATTCGAACCCCGGACCCTTCGATACGGCAGTCACAGTCACTAACCTTTTTTCCGTCTGTGCGGCCGTACGGTCTATTAAATTACACACATTTTGCTGCATTTCGTTTAAACTTATTACCTCAAATTTTTGTAAGTTAATTAACTGATCCCTTAAAGCAGGCTCAAAATTATATCAAAAACTACAAATTGTGAAATTAAATATCCTGGTCAGATTTTGTCGTACGGGAGTCAAACACTCTTGCAGGATTTTAAATACACGAGTGAGTGATTTGTTTTATTTCATAAAGTTTTTAATTATATAAATTTAAATCTAATATTTTTTCTGTAACCTATTTTTTTTTTTTTTTAAGTTTTTTTTTTTTTTTTTTTTTTTTTTTTTTTTTTTTTTTTGTAAATTTGTCTATAAAACTACCCCTAACTTTGGAGGGGGATTCTGTTTTATGGTTCAACTATCGTCTTATCTGGAAAAATACACTGTAATTTTCCTATATCATTTTCGTGTGATAAAATTAGTGAAAACAATGGTTCGAATATGGGAATAAATGCGATACGCGCACACACACATAGGTATACACGATGGACGGAACTGAAAAAAAGTCTCACAAGGATATTACTAAAAGGAATTGTCTAATTCCTGTATTGACGTATCGTGTACGTGCGCAAATCCGTTATTCCCGCTATGTTGCCAATTTCTATTAATAGTAGTTCTAATCAACTTTAGAACTACCATATTCCAAAGCCGTAAGCATTCATTACAAGGATAACGTGGTGTGATTAAAGAAAAATAAAAACTTTAGAACTACTTTAGTACGCTCATTTTAGAGCTCCATTACTGTCACACATATTTTGTACTGAAACTTTTACCTGAATTACACGTATAATTTCTGAAATATCATAAAAAATTACAAAGTAAAATTTTTGAACTTAATTATTTCTCATTTTTGCCAGTTAAGCCAAAGAAATCGTACAAAATTCAAAGCAATCGGCGGCAAAAGATTTTCACATATGGAAGAAGAAGAAATCAAAGAATTAATCCAGAAATGACGAATGAAAAACTGGATAATCTTATGTCACGAGCCTACAGTGAAAGCAGTGATAGGGAAGAAGTTAAACGTCTTTTTTTTCCAAGAAGCTAAACGAATTATTAAAAAAGGCACAGGAACCCACTGATTTTGTAATGGAGAATGACCCAACTGAAGAAAAAAGAAAGAAAAAATCACCCGCGTTTTACAGAGGCTTATTAGCAGTAATAGAAAATCCTTTCAATTAACATTTGTTTCATTTTTTTCATTTAAATCATAGGCAGTATTTTAAGTGATTTAAATTATACGTACTTCATTTATCTGAATTATGCCTAATACAGTTTATTGAGTCTCACTCTCTTTGATAGCATAAAATCACAAGCTTTAGAAAAATTATATAGGAATAATCCTGTTGTCTTAACCTGCAACCAGCAAAGTCAGAAGAAGGGTGTATAGAACCCTTTTATTCAAACACAGAGATCTTCACAGACGGCATGTAGTTAGAATAGCACAAATGTTCACGGCATAAAGTAAAGCACAGGAAGGCTCTGGTTTGTAGAAAACCGACGAGACAAGCCTAATGGCTAGAAGCACTCAACGCCACAGAATCAAATCGCTATTTAATCACGGTAACAACGGGGGCCTCAAGTAGGCAAAACATGCTTTAAAATCAACTTGTGAAACCTTCTCTTAAATAGCACTTCTTTTTCCCTCAGTCTGAATAAACGCTGGCCCTCTCACTTACATTATGTCATGTAAAGCCTGGGTGAAAAAGAGAGCGACAGAAAATTAAGACTCAAAAAAGACTCAAAATTAAAAACGATCAAGCAAAAATAAATAGATAAATCCTCGCAAGTTTTTCCTTAAAATACTGAGTTTGTAAATCGCGATTCTGACGTGCGTGTAATGTCGTAACCGCGCGTTCGGCAAGTGTATAATATATTACCTAATTTCATGTAGAAGAATTAATTTTAAAACCAATTTCATTAAAATTGTAACTGAAGTTATGACTCACTGCGTAAAGTCTGAAAAGTAATTTAATTTATTTGTACTTGGAACGGTGGAAAGTAGCGTCTCTTTTGCTTGATTTTTCAATTTACCTCGTGCAGTTCTAAACAGAGCTAGCGGATGGAAAATAATTTTACATTTTTTTTTTGTTTGTTTGTTTGTTTTGTTTTGCATTTGAATAAGCAGTGATTTCTAACTTTTTCTTCTCTCTTTTTCAGAAATTGATAAAGCGCAAGGATTTTTTGGAAGACCTTGTTGCACTCTTCCACAGTCAGAAGCCTGCATAATGCTATGTCTTAAGGTAATTGAAAATAAAAGAAACTTCTACTTCGATTTTTATTCCCATAATCAATCATTCCCTGTGTAAACTACTCTCGAGTTTCCTAGAACAAAAAGACGTTATCAATCGTCATTTTAACCTTCTTTTTTCATCGCGGCGAACAGTAGAATATTTTCTTGAAGCCACATTTCCCATCTCCTACATTATTGTGTGTTTGAATTTGTACACTGACATCCAGCGTTGGAATGTGCGGACGATTTTCGGATGTTTATTCCCGTATCCCCCCTCTTGTTGTGCCTCTGTGGTCTCTCTCTTTTTTTTTTTTTTTTTTTTTTTAATTCGTTCGTACTGAAATAAATGCTTTGTGATCACGGTCACGACTGACTTACTTTGAGAGGAAAAAACAGAATTTTCCTCTTATATTTTTTCCAACAATTCATTTCGTTTCTCCCAGAGTGGTGCTTTTTTAGTATTTTTAATGTCTATTTTCAAAACAATAACAGATTTTTTTTTTTTTTTTTTTTTATTCATATAGGCAAATGAGAGAGAAGATCTGGGTTCTGCGTGCCGTCCAAGTGATGAAATCACGTTCTTCGCGTGCCTTGACAGACAAGAAGGTTAATATTTATTTCTAATTTTGATAATACAAATGAATTTATGTATGCAATGATATTTCATCTCAAACACGAGGCAAAGCTAACTTGAGAGCCTATGAAGAGATAAAAACCTACTAAGTAATCAGGTTTTAAAATCTGCCGCAGCGGGATAGCTCCAGGGCTTTTTAGTTTTAGAGTGAAACATAACATCAGTTTGAACTCGAAATTATATGAGCTCCGGTATAAATTAATTAATTTATTAAATTAATTATCTTTAATTTAACTTAAATTGTTTATTTTGTTATTTATTTATTTATTTATTTTTTTTTTTTACTTTCCTTGATGACCTACAAAAAGCTCCGACAGTTCTAATTGTAAAAAATTCAGCTCTATTAGTAACGTGTACTTTTCAAGATATTTTGAGAGAAAATTGTCAGTTACCAGAAAAAGTTAAAAGAACTATAATACAGAAAAGCAGTGAGTAAACTCATCATTGTTACCCACATCAGCAATGGCCTCAAACCAATTCCTATTTTTCGAAACAAATCTGCAGTCTCTCAGTTTAAACATGTATGATTAAATATGTAGTAACCTTTTCAGCTACAGTCTTTAAAACTGTATCACATGTTTTTTGGATGACTGGCAAACAATCAAAAGCTAAAGAAAAAAATAGATCCTACAATCAAGTAACAAAAACGATCCTTTTCTCTTCCTTGTACGAAGTAAAGCAAATAATTAAAAGTGTAAGAAATTACTGTAATCACGAAAAATTTTGGGCATCATATTTCAGTGAAAATATCCATTTTCAGTGATCTCGAATCTATTTGAACGATTTTTTTCTCTGATATCTGTACGTACGAATAGAATAAAGACTGTTTTATTTTTCAAAACGGATGGTAAAATGGATTCAAAATGAGTTTTTTTTTTTTTTTTTTTTTTTTTTTTTTTTTTTATGTCTAGGCGTATGTACATATCTGTGTATCTCGCATAACTCAAAAACGATTAGCCATAGAACATTAAAATTTTGTATATGGTACTGCTATAACATCTAGCTGCGCAATTCCCTTTTTTGCTGCAATCAAGCACACCATATATATAGAGAGAAAAATTGCAGAAATTGTAATTGTAGTAAGCTCGCCTAAAAGTTACCAGGAGCTGATGCTCAAAGTTCAACACGTTTTAAAAAAATTAATACATATGAAAATCAAACCATTAAACGTGTAAAATATTAAAAAACAGAATCAGATAATAAAAAAAAGTAAGCGGAAAATGGTAAATTAGCCTAACTCGACTTCCAAACTGGCTTTTCAAGGGAAATTTAATTTGTTTGAACGTCGAATCAAGCTAATCCCATTACGCGTTTCGCCGAAACAGACAATTGAAACTTTTTCGCTACAAAAATGTTTTAATTTAGACAAAGTGTCTTGGAAAATTTTAATAGTCTCAATTCTCTGTTCCAATTTCCCGACGCGTCGGCACTAAATGACACATTAAGGTGTTAAAACGCGTAATGGGGTTTCGGCGAAACGCGTAATGGGGTTAGCTTGATTCGACGTTCAAAGAAATTAAATTTCCCTTGAAAAGCTAGTTTGGAAGTCGAGTTAGACTAATTTACCATTTTCCGCTTACTTTTTTATCTGATTCTGTTTTTTAATGTTTTACATGTTTAATGGTTTGATTTTCATATGTATTAATTTTTTTAAAACGTGTTGAACTTTTTGGAGCAACAGCTCCTGGTAACTTTTAGGCGAGCTTACTACAATTACAATTTCTACAATTTCTATTTTACTTATTTTGCAGCATATTGCGCAAGATGTTTTCTAGACCAAATTGGTTAAATTCATATTTAGTTAGTTTTATAAAGTTTTTTATTAACTTGTATCTTGATTTCATAACAGAGCCTACCAATAAACTTCATTGTCTTCATTACAAATTCATATGTTATCCTTAAGACTGTTTTATTCACAAATTCATATGTTATCCTTAGAACAGTTTTCTTCATAAACGATAATGTTAATAATCAACTGTTTAATTTGATTTTTCAGCTATTTCAAAACTAATATAAAATTTACGAACCAAGAACGATGTATGAGTTTTTCTTTCATTTCGATATATTAACCCTTCCGCCGTCGTCACCCTGTCTGCGAAAATTTCTCCCAAGCGGCCCTTTGTTTTTCGCAGCATGTAATGTTGTTTTCTCTGTACATACATAACTTTCGTAGTGGATCAATGTAAATGAATATTAAGTAAAATTATAACTAAATAAAGCATAATGGAAAAATAATAATATCTCTGCTTATTTCTAACAGCAGAATAATTTGATAACATCTGTTCCAGGCGGTCCACTCCTCCCATTTTGTTTTGTAAACTTTTACAATTATTGTTTTTTTTTTTTTTTACAGTTCTTTTCCGTGTTCCAACATCAATCATCGAGTTATTATGGACTGTACTCCTCAAACGTATATCCTTCTTCTCTTTCCAATTCACAACCTCATTTTTTCCCTTTTTCTGCTGAGTAGGCGTTGAAGATCTCTCACTGTCTTGTATTTTATGTAAAATGGCGCGAATATTCATAAAACCCGGGGGGGATTCAATTAGAAATAGAATGCCTGATTAGTACTGCCCTCTAGGAGGTATTAGAAAAAACAAAAATAAAAACTCAAACAAGTAAACATTTAGAAAGCGTTTTAAACGTTTTAAAAGTTTTAAAATGTAGAAGAACGTTTGAAGCTCGTTACGGCTGCCCTGCAGAAGTTTCCCTTGACGCGTTAGATGCGTTACGGACGACGAAGAGGTTAATATTTGCCAGCCATACGCTGCTCGAAAGCCTTTGCACATTTCATTGCCGATTATTGTTTTAAATCATTTTATAAAATTCCCCGAATAATATTCATTCCTCCGCAAAAAGAACAAAATGTAGATGATCGTAAAAATAATAGTCAGCGCAAAAATATATTGAAAATATTTTATCAGTCGGCTGCTCTACCTTTTCTTTGCTTTAAACATTAGTGGTTTGTTTCTGCAATAAATAAGACAAGTATTTGTTATAAATTCAGAAGAATCTTTTGATTTAAAATGATTTTTAAATATCTAACTTTAATTTTCATCAATAAAGAATGCTACCCATTAGTTTTCATTGCTGTTGGGTGTTTTAAATTCTGCTAAATATATTATTTATTTCATCTACTTCTCAAAATAAGCATGAACTACTTTAATATTCTTTTATTTTTGTAGTGGGTCAACAATGTTGCAGTAGAGCAATGAAGCCAGAGTGCTCTAATGCATGCAAAGAACTATTTGCTAGTACAACAGAACCATCCGTACAACTGCGTACTTACGTAACCAACATGTGTTCTCATGACAGTCCAGCAGTTTCGAAGTGTGTTCAAAACTACACTCTTATCACACCGGCTGAAAATCCAGCAAGGAGTAAGCTTTATCTCTTATTATAAAATAGTTTCAATTATGTTATAAAATAATTCGAATAAATTTACAGCAGGGATCATATTAGCGAATTCAAAAATTTCAAATTTCTTATATCGTTCGTTTGAAAACTGTAATTCAAAGAAGTGTAAATATTCTATTAAATTCATAAACTGTATTTTGGCCATCAATTTTAGTATATTTGACATGGCTATTAATTGTGTAAGTTTTTCATGTAAAGTGGTATTATAGCCTCTAACGACAGCAAGCGCCATCTGTTAGCAATTCTTGATGCTCATTCATTCACTAGTGCATGATTCATTCATTCATTCATTCATTCATTCATTCATTCTTGATCCCCACTATACCTGTAATACCGTAATTTCTATTTCCGTTTTATATGCGTTTCAAATCATATGTTAGAATAAATTTTAACCGAATTAAATATGAGAAATATTGGGACAAATATTATAATCTTTTAATAAATTAGCTAAAGAAATGTAAATGTTTAAGTTAATTATATTTTTTAATATTTAAGACATCACTAGCTGTGTGTAGAACGTGGGATTATAAATATTTTTAATTTCTAGCCTAATTTAAATTGTGAAATTTCTTTCTAACGATTAATAGGAAAAACGATTCGAACATCGGCACTGGTGAGGTTTTCCTCTTCTATTTACTTCTCATTTAAATTTCAAACTAAACAATATACTTACAGCAAAATCAAACATAACTTACCACATCTTGTAAGCACATTTAAAAATTAAACATAACTATGTCTGACAGTACGTTAACACATGTCTACTAGTAAGATTTGTTTTTGGATTTGTATTAGGATTGATGTATTAGATGTTATAAAAGCCTGGTAGTAGCTGTAAATGATTTTTTCTCTTTCACTGCAAGTTACGAAATAATAAATTATTTATTTATTTTTTTATTGGAAAATCCGGGACATTTCTTCATCCAAAACGTTTCACTAAAATTCGTGGTTGTCTCGCATAATCCTGCAAGTCTGATCATTTCAACTAAATCCTTCACAAGAAGAGAAAAGTGGGATTATGGCTTGAAGATTATATAGATTATGTTTCATTCCGTGCAGTGTTGCTACTGCTGGCTTTTAAATTATTGAGTTTGCTAATAAAAAATTCCTGAAAGTTTTACAAAATATGAAATAGATTTATAAAGTAAATAGGAAATTCAAAATATATGCTTTCAGGTGCCCATATTCGGGTCAAGGAATACGTTACCAAAATTGAATGGTTCTAGGTACCGTTGTTTTTTCACAGTGCGGGAAACTTACATACATTCATGCAGATTTTTCATTACTTAATTTCTTTAAAAACAATGTAGGGCGACATTTAGTGGTAACAATTTGGAAAGTGAAACGCTGTTTATAATGCTTCAACGCAAAATGCCCTTTCGAGATTAATATCCCATTCGGGACTAAGAGTCCCTTTTGGGCTAAAAGTAAGCATTATATCTTATTTCATTTCTTCTTTCAAAGCCTCGTTAAACCGCAAAAATAACCAAAATTCACTTCCCGCACTCCCCCCCCCAAAAAAAAACTCTTTTAATTCCTGATTATCAGATTATTGTCAACTTCGCAAGTATTGACTTGTGATCTTTTTCACTCATAGCCATTCTTGCAGATAATTTATTTCAATAGCCACTGCACCGAAGCGTACAAAATACAGGTAATCAGATAATCTATACAATAATGGTACTTTTTGCTTCTATTTGTATACACTTGTTATTCATCCACGGTTAAATAGTCTTAATTTCATGCATTATTTGTGAGTAAAGACAGCGCATAGAGATTAATCAAGATTAATTCCTCTCCCCAGCCTCGGGAGTGATTTGCAAGAGCTCGTAATTAACCTTTCAATGATCCTTCCTGTGTGCAAGAAGTTAATCCAATCATTATACTTTTAATTCAGCTCCTCGTCTGGTAAAGAGTGACGTCATCAAACTCTTAGAAGCTCTAAATATCGTTACAAACTCTTTTAGTGCTATTAAGAAGAAAAAAATCCATTTCATTAATCATAAATATTTGAGAACCAGAATGGCATCAGTGAGAAATACTTTTTTTAATCATATAATTAATCTCTATCTAATTTGCGTTAACTTATGTCAAAAAGAAATATTCGTATTGAAGAAAAACATCTGCTCTTGGCTCAATCCTGCTAGCAAAAATCTTTTTCATGTTTTAGCTTTTTTCTTGTAAGCATCGTTCATCTATGCTACATAAAATCCAAAAGCAAAATCATAAAATATTTAAAAACAGCATATCTTTAAAATTCCCTAGGGAGTGTTAGAGTTTGTCATACATTTTTTTATTTCGCAAAAAATTAATACGCAAGCAAAGGTTGGCTTGAAAACATTAAGCATTGCTTTAATTTTTCCAGTGTAAAGCTTCAGGGTAGGCTGGCTGCCCAAATTAAAGAAGCAGCAGAGAAATTTAAACCCCAGTTTTTTAAATTCATTGAAGAAAGAAACTACATTCCGCAACAAATTTTCAGTTGAGAAGAGACGGTTCTGTTTCAAAGCGAGTGGAAAATGAACGAAACGAAGAAAGAAGTTACTTTTCGCAGCAGGTTTTCAGTGTGGAAGAAACTTAGATAAAGCCCAATAATTCTAGAAATTATTTGACGCAATAATAATGCCTTTTGAAATGCTTTTAACAGACGGAGCTTAAATTTTAATGATTTTTGAATTCATATCTTATCTCAAGTTTGTACTCTGTCACTATTCATTAAATGACTCTAATAGTTAGCATTCATTAATATTCATACTCTTCTACCATTTCAGATCTTCATTGCTGTGATAAAGCTACCAGTGAAGAATGCAAATTTGCATGCCGGAAAATTTTGACGACGCAAAACATAGGACAAGAAATTGTGGATAATTTGATCGCCGGGGGATGCGGTTTACCTATGCCTCACGTAAGCATTTTGCATATTTAAATAGGAAGGGAGCAATTTAGTTGAACTGCATGAGCAGAGTGTCGCTCCCCCTCCCCCATCAAGATTCAACAGTAAATTTAAATCGCTTTGTAAATCGTTGTTCATGCTGTACTTTGCGTGCAAAATGAGTTACGTTTATACTTTTGTAAATGAGATATTCAAATAATATTGTGATAGTTTTGTGGTTGAAGAAAGGCACCGTTTAGCAAGACGAAACAAATATTTATTAAAAATAATATTTAAAAAGCATGATATTAAACTCAGAGCCGTACATCGCTCCTACAGCATAGCAAAAATCGAGAACCTTCATCTTCCGAGGCTAACATGCAACTCCTAAAATACAGTAACCCTCTTTGGAGAAAAGGCTACACGCACCAAGCGCGCTTTGTTGATCGCCAAACAGTCGCCAAATACTATAAATATCCCTTATTCATGTCGCCATTAGCTCTTGCCCTTCAGGACTCACACTTCGAACTTATTCTCTTTTCAGCGCCCAAACATCTGATGACAGCCGGAACACATCAAGCAGAATGCTTGATAATCTCGGCGTAAGTGTAACTTGGAACTTGGAATTATTCATGTGCATAGAATACTCATATTATTCATGTGCAAAGAATAAGATTTTTATCATTATGAATATGAATCGTTAATTACATTAACTCACGAAAAATAATCTTAAAAATATTAACAGAGAAATTTTACCTTTACAAAAAATTAAAATTTCTTCTAAAATTTATTTTAGTACATTTTCATTCATAGTAAAACGGGTCTTATTATGTTTCCTGTAAAAAAATTGCAGTGTATCCTTTCGAGGCATTCATTTCCGTAACATCTCTCTAACACTACATCTAAAATTATAATCATAATTCTCGCGTATTTTTCCCCTTAGCTTTTTGGCACCAGGTTTTGAGAATTTAAAAAATATTCGCGTAATTTGCCCCTTTCTTAGTGCGTTCAGAGAATGAGCTTCCCAGAATTTCAAAAAGGGGTTCATTTATGTAGTTGTTATTTCTTCTTACTAACAAAGGCAAATCCTCGCAAAATACCTGCAAAGTTTACTATGAACCTTTCTCTTCTTATTGTTGAACTTTATGCCAGCCTAATACAAAATCAATCCATCATCGCGAAGCAAACCCGAACTAATATTCAATCTACGACTTCGCCAAAACAGCTGTACAATCACTTTTTCTAACTATTTTATGGATAATCTGAGAAGTAGAGATAACAGTAAGAACGGACGAGATTCAAGTTGTAGAGAAATCGAAATGAAGATACCTTATTAGGTACTTAAATGTTAATATTACTATGCTATATGTAATCTTATTGAAATTTAGATTCCTTTTAAAGAAAAAATGTTGTGGTAGTTACCTGTAGTTTATCCGTGACTACTTTTCATGTGTTATGTTCTTACTGTACCACGTCTTTCGAAAATTAAATTAGTTGCATAATTTTCCTCTCGATTTTCGGACGATAAAGTTAGTAAAAAAGGGAGAAGGATACACAAGGAAATACGGTTTTTCTGACCCCATAAATGAACATTAGTGTTAAACATCATCTGTTTAAGACAGTTGTTTTCAACTTGTTTGGCATCTGCATTCCTTTCATCATTACCTTTTTTTTTTTTTTTTTTTTTTTTTTTACAAAAATACATATATTGAAAATGCATATACTAATACATATAACCGAAAAATACATATACTTAGATTTAGATTATTTTTTGTTTTGTTTTGTGAATTAAGCAACTAAAAGTAAAGAAAATATTGATACGTCTTTTTTTATATTAATTAAAACTAAATACTTAACAGTTAAATAAAGTACTGACCGCATTCCTTCCTGAGACTATGAAATTGCCTCCAGGAGGAAATTTTCACTTTGATGAGAACCCCTGGTCTAAGATGACTAAAATCATCTGGAGACGCGTATGATAGCCGTAGAGAGGGCTTACTGTAAAGAAATTTTAAAGTATGGTTAAAGTAAAAAATATGGCAAAAATATGATTGTATCACATGATGACAGTATTATGATTAGGGAAACTTAGATAATGCCACTAGGAACCCAAATCGTCAAACTGGAGAATAATATACAACAGTACCAACCAAACCTCTGCTTTAAGCTACTCACCGTTTCAAACGCTTGCAATCCTTACTTTTGAGTGAAAATTAAAGTTCTAAAGTTTCAGATTTAATATACCATTCATATACTGTACAATGTATAATAAACATTTGCATTTGCTTCATAAGCATAGCAATTTTTTCTGATTCACCTTATGGCGCTTAAATAAACTTGTTGTTGTTGCTTATGCTCACTTGTCTGACGTAGTCAGCCCAAGCCCACGAAATTCCTCGTGGCAAGGAGCGCTAGATTACGCCTGTCATTGGCAACAGCCTTGAGCACCTTATAGGTGACAGTACGATTTAACTCAGTTCAGCCCCCAATTTTGATGGAAAGCACCCCAGGGGGATGGGTCCGAAAGTATTTCCACTCCTTCCTCCAAGCCATACGAGAGGACTTTCAGCTCGCTGCATATTTGGAGTGCCGCCACACCGCAACGACACTATATTTTTACAAACATCCATGCCTTCTCCGGGACTCAAACTCGGGCCCTTCGGCATGGCAAGTCAGCGACGCTAATCACCATACCGGTTGGGCAGCACTAAATAATCTTAGCTTTGTGCAACTGGAATCTAGAGGAAAGTAAAGGCGTTAATACGCTCACTTTCAAGCGGGAAAGAAATACACTCTTTTGCAAAAAAATCGAAGCACCAAGAAGGACTTTTGCGATCGTGACGAAATTTGTTATGCAAAAGCGTCTTGATCGAACATGCAAATGATCAAAGTTTCAAGACAAATGAGCAGGAATTGCAATCATAGCGCGCATTTCTAGTGTGCAATTCGCAAAGCATAAAACCAGTAACAGAGGCGGAAAATTTATCTTTTTTGTTACTGCCATCGTAATTCCGTAAAGAGCAACTAAAGGAGCCTCCACCACTCCTTGCCTCGACGAATTAAAGCATGCATTGTCGCCAGGGGCGGTTCGACCAAGTACTAATTTGAACACTCAAAGGGTGATTGTGAGCCGTGAACAGGTAATATGACCTTGATTTTTTTAATCATTTTATTATCTGTGTATGAGCTATACACATATTTAATTTCATCAAAAACAACCACTTCATTCACGGTGCTTCGATTTTTTTGCAAAAGAGTGTAATTAGATCAGTTGAATTCGTATCAGATAAGAAGACTTTCGTTAAAAACCTCTTTTATTCCCCCTCCCCCGCAGGAAATGCTAAAACATCGTAAATATTTTCAATCTTCTTTATACAAAATTTAACATTTGAGAAAATTTTATTTTGGTAAAATTTAATAATTAGCAGTATTTGTATGTATCGAATTTATTTAAGAATATTAGTCATAAAAGAATATTCCGGCTAATTCTATGTAATTATGTTTTTACAAGTATTAAGTTAAAACTTTTATATTAAAAACGAAACAAAAAAGTGACATTAGCTTCGTATTTTTCCTTCGCATTTTAAAAGCCAAAAAATTAAACTGACCTTTCTACCTTTAGAGAAAGAATGATATTACACAAATAATGATAACCTGATCACAATAATTATTTTTTCCTCTGAAGATAATTATTTTGAAATTTTACAGGAAAGCTATTTCATGGATGCTAAGACTTTTTCCCCCTATTTTATTCTCCCCCATCCTCAGATAACACAGTGAAAGCAATATACGGGCATGAAGCGATTTTTTATGTACCACATTAATTAGTTCGTTTGGTATATTTATATGTTTTTTTAACTTTAAATATTTCTTTCTAGGACAAATTATGGCAATGTTTCTTGACTAATGCTGATTCTGCTAAGCCTGAACCTAAGTCGGTTTCTCATCTCGATAATATGGGAATGGACAGTGCTAAACTCCAGTGCTGTTTCCGTGCTGCAACTTTGACTTGCCAGAGACTGTGCATAAAGGTAAATTGTCATGAATATTACAAAAATTTTGCTCTGTTTTTTATTTCATGTTTAGAATAATTATATGGAACGTTTCAAAAAGAATAAAACAAATTTGATGAAGTGGTAGAACATACTGAAATTATTTTTTTTCGTAGAATGCATAGTGAAAAATATAATATATAGGCGCAGGAGGGCGTTTTTCCTCGACAAGCATCTCTGCAAGTTATAGCTTTAACTTCTGAAGTGATGGATCAGTAGGATTTAGGATTTAGGAACGGGGAAAACGGGCACCACACCTCTACCATTTGGTTAAGCACACGATTAGCGTATCAGGTGGATCGGGTCGTGTTCACCTCATTATTCGAGAGAGGAAAGTACCATATTTTCTTACAGGAAGTCTTGCCAGAATTTCTGGAGGATATACCAGCAGCCATCCAGCTGAATTAGCAGCTGAAAAACATTTTCCAGTGGATGGTTGTTGGAAGATATCCCAGTGAACATCCAATAGCATATGTGCTTCAGTACCAGCAGCCCATTTTCAATATCAAAACTACCTGAATATTACTTTTCCGGCCTTTTGTATTGTATGTAGACGCTCTCATACCTATACCAATACTCATCTCGTGGTTCGAGGAAAGAAAGTATTACATTTTCTTGCAAAACGTCTTACCAGAATTATTGGACAGCAGCCATCCTGCTGGATTAGCAGCTGGAACACATCTGCCAATGGGTGGCTGCTGGGTAACTATCCTGCGGCATATGTGTTTCAGTAGCGCCAGCGCATTTTCAATAAGGCATCGAGAACTATCTGGATGTCACTTTGGCGGCCTTTTGAACTGAACGAAATGGCCTCATACCTAAAATGTCATAATCACTCCACCTACTATGTCTTGATTTCTTTTGGGTGCACATTTCAACATGTTCTGTGAGATCTCCCCATAATCTGATTAGGAGACCATTGGGTGAGCAGCTGTGCCACCATGAAGACTTTCAGCGTTATTGCTTCCTCAGTGGGACCACTTTTATTTAAAATTTTATATAAAATAAACGTGGTCTCACTGAGTGAGACCACGTTTATTTAATATAAAATTTTATACCACGTTTGTTTAATAATCTAATTACGAGTTCTTCATCAGAATTTCGGTTGATGCTGCAGCTGGGCGCGATGTGTTTTGGGAGTTGAAGAAAATTCACCTTCCCTCAATTACCGCCGTGTGTTAATGATTGCTCTTTTTAGAAATTACTATAATTATTCGTTTTCAAAGTTGCTTTTTCCTCTTCTGTGGTGTTTCTGTGTTTATGCCTTACCTCACTAGCTTCACTATCAAACACCTTCTAGCATCTTTACATTTAATTCTTTTTCATGCAATTTTGTTCAAAAAACATGATTGTTGTTTGTTATACCACCTCTTAAAGTTTTTAAGATATTCTCTATCATCACAAATTCAAAATATTGCGAAAGATATTGCATGTCAATACCAAATGTAGACATATTTAAACAAAAAGCGGGAAGGAATGCGTGGAAAATTAATTTTGACACATTTAGTATGACATTAAGAACTGGACTAAGTATGACATAAGAACTGGACGGCCATCCATATAGGTTTAATCCTATATAACTGCGTGTCAAAAGAAACCCATGCTGTTATTGTATAATATTGTTTCATAAGTGTTCTGTTGTTAATTGTGACGCGTCCTACATTCCTACCACAGTAATTTTTTCCTACCACAAAAATTTTGGTATCGAATGATTTCGATACCAAAATTTTTGAATTTAATACTGCTTTAGCGTCTAAAATCTTAATTTAATTTTTTGTTAGATATAAATATACGAGAGGAGTAATAAGGTGATTTTTTGAATGTCTTAGAAATATTTTATACTGCAACATAATTTTAATTATAATTCCTTTTATCTAAATAAGGTAAAATTAATTCGTCATAATTAAATAGTTTCTCATTAATTTTTCAAAATGCATCTGTACATTGTTCATTATAAAATGAAATAATAATGTGTAATTTATGGCTTTAATTAATTATTTAAAATTATTCTGAGTAAATGTATTTTAATCAATATTCTTTAAAATATTAGGGGAATCTGATTGTGTACAGAAGAATCTCATCATAGTTGTAAAAGAATATAGTGTATTTTTTTTTTAATATTTTCCAGACATATAGTAATGAATGGGAATTAACCTGGGGAGAATTTGATCGGCAATGCCAGTACCAACTAGGAGAATCTGCCATGTTAAGATGTCTAGCCGAAGGTACGTTGAGAAATCTTTGTTATAGTTCCTCACCAGTCAAGCGTAGCTTCAAAACAACCATGTTTTTTTATACTATTTTTCTCGGGTTTTATGTAATCCCTTAATAAATCAATATCTAATAATGTAATGAATAATCGTCTAATTAAAAGTTTAATATTTTATTTGCATATTTGAACTGTAAGATTACAATTTATGTCTCTTTTATTTTTAAATGCATGTTTCAGTAAGCAAAATACAGTCATTAACATCGCATCTCATTCGTAACTAAGAAGGAGATTACGTGGATTTGTGCTTCGAATTTTACTCATTAAGTTTCAAGGTCTCGATTCGAGCATTATTCTGTTGGTGGTCTCTGTGAACACAAGTATCCAATTACTTTAAAGCCCTTCAATGTAATAAGAGTCCATTATAAGTTTCTAAGCTAACGGAACAAGCAATTTAGCTGGATTAAACAGCCGAACGGTGGGAGCAATCGCCGTTCAATGGTGGCAGAACTAGTTATAGCAATTACCGTTTACTAAAATCTTGGCTCCTTCTTTAAATCGATACACTTCATGCAAAATGACTCTTTGCTTACTCAAATGTATTACACAGCTGTTAACTGAAATAATTTCAGATTACGTTCATTCGTTTAGTAATATTTAAGGTAACTAATATTACGATAATTTATGTAACTTATTTCACATTTATTACCGTATTTCTTTGCGTATTTTCCCCCGTTTTTTGAGTAATTTTGTCGTCCAAAAATCGAGAGGAGAAATTTATGTGAGTCATTTTCACATAAGAACTCCACAACAAACGTCCCTCAAACATTCCTAGTCCCTCCCACATCCCAAAAATAGCTTCTCAAATGTTTCACCACCTGTAATAATTCAAAGTATCCCCCACTACTGATAACGGAATTTCGGACACACACACCCCTTCTGAGTAAGACACAGAGGAAAACACTTTACCAACATCCCCACTAGAAAGAAAATAAGTTAATTAATGCATTTTTTTGGCCTTTATATCTTCATGTCATTTCACATTTTACTTTCTTATTATATATATTTTTCATTTTTCCAACTTTTATTTGATTTGTTTTTACAAAGATAGCATTGTTATGTTTCTTATTTTTCTCATGTTTATTTCAATTATTTTGAGTTGTATTTCATAATTCCAATTAAGATTACTACTGTTTACTATTTTTATAAAAAATAGTCTTGAATTAACATGCATAAAAGCGAAGGAGTCGGGGGACATTTACTCAAGTAGCTTGTAAATTTTACTACATAAATCGGCTTTTCACTCAAAATTTCTAAAGAATCTTGTATTAGCGAAAATGCTTCATTCAGAATGAGTTCTTTGGTACTTTACTTTGGTTATAAATCCTATCACTTCACGGAACTCCAATTTTTGGCTTAACTTTTTACCAGTTTGGCATCATTATTCTTACTTGAGTAAAATCTGAAACACCTTCGCCTTTATTAATTATTGTTCATTGAACGGGAGTTGGTTTGTTCCCCTTGAAAAGTCAACTAATTTCCGATCAATAGCGATAATTACTTATTTTTTAATTTTTAATTTCTTTTTCAAAGTTTGAAATTTTGTTATTCATGATTTAAATTCGTCCCCTTAAAACGTCTTTTTCATGATATAAGTTACTTTAAAACACAGTTTTCGGAATTAAACTTCCTACATATGGGTTTCCTCTTTTTTGATACATTCTACTAAATTTATATTAGGAGATAATAGAATTAATATTTCTTTAGTAAACATATTATTACATACATATTCTAAGTTTAAACTAAATATTTATTCCAAAAAACAATTGGTAAAACTCGTTAAAAAAGTTTTTTTTTTTTTATGTATGTGTGTGTTGGAAATTAAATTTAATTAAATTTTGTTGCAATCTTTGACAAAGAATTCGAAGCTTTGTTCTGTTAGCAATTTTGCAGAAAAATAACATATTTCTACAGAAATTTCACCTCTGTGTTTTCTGCTATAGGAAAATTCTACAAGCACAGGAGTTCTTCACATAATATTGAAGACTGAACGCATCAGCAATTGACAAGGCTACAACGAGCTGGAACGTAAATAATAGACGTAAAGTGAAATCACATATTTGGAAATTTTTTTAATTGTGAGAACAACTGCCGCGTCTGCATAGTTTAATGTAGAATCTACACAAATACGTTTCAATAAGAAATTCAAGGGAAAATAAAAGGACGAAATGCTAATACAAAGCTTCAAATACAAATTGAATACACTCAATAAAAATAAAAATAATCGATGGAATATCATTTACCAATAAACTAGCCCTCAAAGGAAACAACTATGCGTAATAGAAAAAGGGGAAAATTATACGAATATTTTTAAAAAATTTGAGAACCTAGCAATTAAAAGCCATGGGAAAAATATGCAAGGAAATAAGGTATATTTTACTGTATTCCTATGAAAATATTTCACTATATTATTGATATAAAACATGCGATGGGAGAGGTGTTAATTGCAAATGCAGAAAAATAACTTTTGTGCTGAAAATGTTCTTGAAACATTCGGCTAAAAATTTGAAACATTGATCCAACAAAGCTAAATTTGAAACCTTCTAATGACTGATATGTTTCAAGAGAAATAACAAAATTGCTTGCACAGGTAATCGAAAGCTAAGAATTATCTCAGTTTTAATTTTTAAATTTCATTTTTACTTGTTACGTAGTAGCTCACAAACAACTGTATACTTTGTCTGATAAATCACAGAAGAGCTTTATCATATCTACAAAAGAAGTGAATAGTGACTCTAATTTTTTATAAAAGAGTCATATTGGCGGATAGTTACAATTATATTTATATGCAAATATCAATTTTGTTTTTCATTCGTCTTTAGTTTCTCCATACACTGATAATTTTACGCAATAAATTACAAAGGGTGCTTACGTATCTTGGGAATGGTTTCGGGGTCGTTTAACTGATGTTTGAAATGTAAAAAATATTATTTTAAATTTCAATCTGACAGCCTTTTTCTGTACTTTAAGTCTGTATTGTGATCAAGAAATGGAATTTCTTGTGTAAATATCGGACGTAAAACTTTAGAATTGGTTTTAACATTTTTACCACTCTTCTTATTTTTAATTTTCCACTGTACGATAATCTTGCGACAATCTTAACCTCTTTGCTACGGAAACAACTTTGTACATTTTTTTTCTTCCGATCATTAATAGATAATTAATAGACTTTTTTTTTTTGTTTGTTTATCAACTATTTAAATAAACCCATGCTTCATCGTGGATCACAATGTATTTACATTTATCTTCCTCGGGGTTCTATAACGATTAGGATTAGCTCTACAACGATTAGAATTTCTGGTACTTCAGGATTACGGCGTCCACCTTAGTCAATCGCCAATTTCGTAAGTTAATCGTCAAGCTTGTAATATGATGCTGAGATTTTTAACCATCAATGGATGTTAATATCTGACTGTTTTGATTATGATGTTTTTCGCGCGATATCACCTATCCAATAATTCGTTTTTTTCCTTTAAAATGTTGAGCATTTTAGCTTATTATCAACTAGCAGCTACGCGGCCAGCCTTCGTCTGGCTTTTAAATGTACCAGAAAAATGTCAATAAATAGAACTTTCTTTAATATACTTATGTCATGGAACTTACGTTCTGCAGATAAAGTTGTCCTGCAGAACAACTTTATCAACAAATACAAACAACCACAACAAAAAGAAAAAACAGAAATTTCAATAGAAGTATATTATATATAAAAAATATTATAATGAAATGAGGAATATCCCTTAACACAAATATTAATTATCCTAATAAATAAATTAGCCAACTTCCTGTTGCAAAATCTTAAGAAATCAAATGGTATAAAGAAAGTCAAGAACTTTGTTTCCTAAAAACAATCATGCAAAACTTTTTATATAATTAAAATTATATATAATTAAAACATAATATAAAAAATTACAATGAAATAAGCAATAAATCTCGTATTTTCAAGTGACAACAGTCAGCAGCCCAGTATCCAAAACAATGAATAAAAAACTGTTGCCAAAACCACATTTCTGAAAGAATGAAACTATCACCAAAAAGTAATTACCAAACAAAATGGTGCTTTGTGGATTACATAATTCAAAATATACAAACCTCTTTACCATTAGCTAACAAAGAGAGCGAGAGAGGAAAGAAAAGGAAATATTTTCTGTTGTGCCTTGCGAGACATATGCGTGTCAGAATAAGAAGATTGCGTTGAGCGCGTTGCGTGTTCAAAAATCAAAAGAAAAATAAGCAGCATTTTAACTTATATTTTCTACAGTCAGTAATCCAGTATACAAAAGCATTGATTGAAAAACTGTTGCCAAAACCACATTTATAAAAGAATGAAACTCTTCAAAATTATGCGATTTTATCAAAAAAGATAAAAATTTTAAAAAATTTGATTCCAGTTTTGAGGAAATCGTTTCGAGGTGCACTGGCTCTTGTCTAGATGCACCTATGTACCAAATTTCGTAACCCTGGGTCTATTAGCTTACGCGCAGCACAAACGAAAGACACACATACACAAACAGACTCTTTCTTTTATTATACGTAGGAATTACAAAAGAAATAATAATTTTTTGTGATATTTTTAATGTGCCACATTTTTTATGTTGACGGTCACTTTTCACAGCATGATATCCTTCTGTCGTTAATTATTAAAATTTTTAAATGTTGCCGACTTTGAACTTTCCTTCATTTCGAAAATAAGAATTAGGTGCTTTGTGATATTTTTCGTTCTTTTGTATTCTTCATTTTTAGTTTTTCCTCTGAAATGTTGACTATATTTAACTTGACAGCAGATGAAAAAGAAGCAATGACATTTGTACAACAGCACGAAATTTTGTATATGAGCAAAAGTGTAAAAAGACCGTGAAATGAAATTATTTATAAGCTGTGGCTAAATGGCGAAACAAAATGCAAAGAGGAACGGCTTGTTAACACTTCGATTCATACTTTTTAGAATTTATAAGCCATGAAATGTCACGGTATGACGCAGTGGCTTAGCGAGGGGGGCAAGGGGGTGTATGATGCCCGCGAGTGGCGCCATTTGGTCTCCAAACAAGATTTTCATCATATCACTGTGTTTTTTTGGGGAAGGGGGGCGCCAAAAAGGTATTTTGCCCCGGACGACAGTTATGCTTGCTACGGCCCTCATGGATCTTATAAGAAATAGACTAACCCAAACGGGTTTTCTCCCTCGTCTGAGGCGTTGCCGGCTGTCACCTTGATCACATCCGGAGGAGTAGGGACGACTTGCAGAAATTTAACATTGGTTGCCTATCGCAGCGTGAATAATTGTTAATATAAAGCTGATTGTAGCGCCTCATTTCACAAATTAGAATTTCTGCATATTTTTACTTTTGAAATTGAGATTGATTTTTAAAAATTTAGCATATTTATCAAGCATAATTAACGTTCCAAATAATTATAAAGCTATTGCATGCTTTCAGGACTGGATATTTTTTTAGCTTTTCCTATGTTGTAAGGAAATTTGTAACTACTTTTTTAGAAAATAATATTTTAAATCTGAACTAATAGAAAATTTCAAACAAGCAATTTTGTCTTGCAATTTTTACGCTTTTTATTGGTGTAAATAAATTTTTTTTAGTATTTTTTAAATAAGTAAAAAATACTAGAATATTTAAAAACGAATTTTTGAAAGTTTTGTTTAAAATTCTAAATTGCTGCTGCTTTTTAAAATTATAGATGAGTATTATAGCACAATTTCTATAAAGGAATTTATTTCAATTATATTTCATAATACATCATAGTGATAAACACTTTTGACTCCTTAAAAATTTTTATACATTTAATTCTAATATTAAAATTGTATTTAACCGTAAAAATTAATTTTGCTTCTATTTTATAGTGATTATTTTTTTAATTTATTTTTAGTTCTGGATAAGATTTTTTTTATTTACCGTTAATTTAATTTATTAGCCCAAAGGGGCGGTAGCCTAGAAAGGCTGTTAGTTTCGAAGCGACATTTTGCGCTGTTTTACTATAAATGTCCCTGTCTCCTTGCAAATTGTTGTTACCCAATATTATCGCCCTGTATTATATGTAAAGAAATTAAATAATGAAGAATCTGCATGAATACATGTATGTTTCTCGCACTGTGACAAAAACGACAGTATCTAGAGCCATCAAATTTTGAATAATGTAATCCTCCACCCGAACATGGGCATCTGGGCCGCCGAATTTCGAATTTGTTTTAATCTATTTCATATTTTGTAAAATTTTAACGAATTTTTGATTAACAAACTCAACGAGTTCAGAGCGAGCACTGTACGGAAAATAACAGATTTATCTCCAGTACGGAAATTCTAAAGATATGCTGTTTTCAAATGTATGTGGTTTACGGGCGAAGAACATGATATTCAATAAATATAGGTAACACACAAAACTTTTAAAAAAGAGTGCTTCTAGATTTTATTTTATCTTTTTTTTTTTTTTTTTTCCTTTATTACGCTTAGAAAATTTTATTCTCCGAATTTTATGAATTATTGAAATAACTAATCCACTTTAATGTTAATAATTTAATGATCATATAATCAAATAAATATGATCGTTTTGCAATGTTATTATAGTTTGGAAAATCACTGCCTGAAAATGTCCATTAAATTTTTAAAAAAAAATTATCAGATCTTGTTTAATTTTACCTTATTTATTTCAAAGCATTGCGTACTATCCATTTTATTTAATTTTACTTTATTTTTACGCAAAATTAAGTTCATAAATTTTGTGCTTAGAGTTTTTACCGTTTTACCAAAGTAAAGATGTTTGTACAAGAATTACACGTGAAAAAAAAAAAAAATGCGCGAAATACAGTAAAAAGTGCTTTAATGATATATATTAAATCCTATTTGGAAAAAAGTGTGGCTTTCATAATCTCATCACTATACAACGTATCACATTTAATAACTTAAAAACAGTTATAACTTAGTTATGTGATACACACGCCATAGGTTTCAGTGTTAAAGTAAACTAGATCGTCCCTACTCTTTCTTGCCGACATGTCGGTGACGCACGCCACACCCACTGGGTTAGTCTATCTCTTATAAGGTCCATGTTATCTATGAGTTGCCATAAGGGCACGTCTGGATATTTTTGTTTACTATCTAATCGTTATTGTCTACATGTTAGCTTTTCATCATGTATGTTTATAAGTCTCCCGTTCTAATTTTAATACTTAACATAAAAGATTTTCTACTTAATTTATAGAAAAATTACAAGGACTGTAAATAACTGTTTCAAATTTAATAAAAATCTAGGTACAGGAAAAGAATGCAAACTATGCCTAAAGACACTTTTCAGAGTCTGCGGAGGTGTATATTTGCTCTCAAAGTCATTTTAATTTCATTTAACAATATGTTTATAGTCGTAACTGTACGCTATACGAAGGCCATAGTCAATCATTACGTCACATTGCTGACACTTCCATGGTTACCCTTTTGTGACGTCAGGCTTACTCTGTCCAATCTTTGGGTTGTAGTATGTAAGACGAGGCAAAGTATTTGATTCTTTTATTGTAGCAATTCCCGAATTATGATCTTTCCGCCATTGGTCGACGCAGTGACATGTGAATAACTAAATAAATGTTATTCCACCAAAGGTAAATAAATATTATTGTAGGTTACATCCAAATAAATGTTACTAATTGTTAAATAAATGTTATTTAATACTTTCCCATATTATGGTTTTTAATCTTTTAAAAGTTGCCATAATAGTTTTAATGTTTGACAAACTAATTTTAAATGTCTATAAATTCCGCCAAAGCATATATGAAGTCCGCTTTAAAATTAAAGTCGCGATTTTTTTTTATGCCACTTAGTCGAGGAACCTTGCGAATTGGGATGTGAGGGTCTCAGTTACTGCACTAACTTCAATCATCGACCGACCGAACTCTTTCGCAATTGCGACAGCCGCACAGACCAAGCTGCGAAACACGATGTGGACCTATGGCATCAGGGAATCATACGGATGCCTACTATAGACATTCCAGTCTTGGATATTGCCAATTGTTTCCCAGATACATGGAAGACTATAGCTTGTGCTCTACAGATCAAACCCTGTCAATCGAAAGCTCATGTTAATATGATTTGCAGGTATGTCCATTCGCATATTAAATATCTATCTCATTATGTTTTAAGTTTGTCTTGTGAAAATTGTTTTTATTTTAACTGAAAAACATACTGTGTGCCACCCAACCGTCATAGTGGTTAGCGCTGCTAACTACCGTACCGAAGGGCCCGGATTCAAATCCCGGCAAACACAAGGATGTTTATTAATGTATAGTGTTTGTGCGACTTGAAAGCATTCTAAATATGCGGAGAGCTGAAAGGGTAGGGTGCGGTGGTAGGGGAAGAGGGATGGGAGAGTCTCAGACCCCCCCCCGGGATGTTCTCTTTCAAAATTCGGGCTGGAACTGAGCTAAAATCGAGTTGTCGCCTGTATGGTGCTCAAGACTCTTGCCAACGACAGGCGCATTTTTCTCTTTGCCACGATGAATGTTGTAGGCTTTCGCTGACCTTTGCCAAGCAAGTGAGATTGGTAACAGCAACAGCCTGTGTGATCCCTTTTCAATTTTTTTTCTATTAAACATTTAGTTATAAAAGCGGTCAAAAATAAAATTAGTTTATTAAAAATGTATTATAGAAGAAAAAGACTGCGATAATAATGAAAAAATTTTTAGTTAATATTTTTTTTTTTATTTTTAATTAGTGAATTTCGATAATTTGCTTTATTTAGAGAAGAAAATAATGATATATATAAAATAATAATGATATACATAGGTTACACTGTTGCCCATAAGGTACTTCAGTTGGTCCTCAAGACACATGCACTTATCAGAAGTCAAGGACCTCTGCACGCGAATCCAAGCCTCAGAGTCCAGTGCCCTTTAGTTTAATGTATCAAGAAACTCAAGTTGCTACGAGTATTTCTGGATAACAGACTTTCCTGGCAGCCTCATATACCCTCTACTGAGCCTGAGAATTAATATACTTACCAGTGCCATGCCCTCTGCAACCTGAATGAGATAGGAAATCTCGGGAAAGATACTTAGGCTATGTTTATACAGTTAAATTTACAAATCATTCACAGCTACAATAGCATAAAAAACTTTACTTATCTGCATGCCGAGAATAAACCTGGGACGCTTTTACCTAGCTCGAAATCTTTCAGAACTGCAACATTGCAATTTTAAAAAATAGAAAAGCTTATTTTCTGAACGCAACAAACTGAAAAACTTCCCAGTTTATGCATCGGATTTCATTTCGTATCTCATCCACACACATACACCGTAGGGAAGGTGAAGAAGGAAGAATTAAATTAAAAGTATATGCTAAAAACTTCACTTTCGAAAGAGGTAGTCTTAAACCCATGACAGCTTTCGGTACGCCGCTTGCAAAATCCTTGGACCCAATGCCCCGCAGTTCATATTTTATGTAACCATGGTTACCACGGTCACGGTTAAGGAAAATTCTCGCCAAAACGTGAGAGGAACACTAACTACCTTATCATCCTCCGAAGAACGTATCCTAAGTTTCTCACATTTAACACTTAGATATCAAACGACTACTCAATCTTCTGCTTCCGAGAGGTTCGAGGCAGTGGCTATCCTCTTGTTATTTGTTACCATTAAATTCCCCGCTAGACAAATGAATTTGAGTACATTGATTCTTTAATGGGAGGAATAATAATCTCTAATACAAACGTCTCCTATAAAATGTTAATTTTTTATTGCCATATTAAGGCAACATTTTGATTCTTCATCGTATTTTTTTTTTTTTTTTTTTTTTATTCCAGGACCGATTGTATTAAAATACTAAGTAACTGCGTAGATAGAAGCAGATTATTAGACACACAGAGTCCATCTAGCCTGTGTGATGTTCTTTCTCCTCCAGGAATTAATTCTCCCTGCATATCTCTGGAACCTTTCTTGGGTAAGTAAAACTGCAAAATTCTATGAATCTTTGAAAACAACGAAAATGTGCTTTGAGCATACAGTTGGTTTGATAGCATGTGGTTTCAGTTGATGCATGTTAAATTAGAAGTTGGGGAAGAATGAGTATAGTAGCTGATATCTCTATTTCAGCTTTACATATTTTCTTACCTCTGCAAATCCGCAATATGAAAGCATCAGGTTTTGACACTAACGTTTTACAAGAATGATGCAAGGGAAATGCTAGAATGCTCGACACTATAGCATAAAAATCGGGATTCCAGTTCATATATCTCTCTCATATTGTCATTAGTCTCTACTAAAATCGATGATGATTCAGATAAGCAAGTTACTAAGCGTGATGCTTTTCTTAATGCTCGAGAACACCCAACCATGAATGGGCCACGGAATGAAAGACTCTAGTTTGTGCAGCAGTCCTGTAGTAGAAAATTTCGAATGAAGAGAACCAAAGGCGTACATAACTGCCAGTTATATACTGCAATCATGTAAGCCTTCTACACAAATCTGTGAAGTTAAGAGAGTGGCCATTCTGATTATTTTTTCTTAAATGTTATATTGTATTAAATATGACAATTGGTTGTTGCATTTTTAAGCTTTTCAGAAAGCTTAAAGAAAGCATAACTTTAATATTTTAATCAAAATCTTTTAAGATTACTATAATACTTGAATATTTATTTGAAACACATGAATTCAACGAAAGCACCCTTGTATGTTACCCTAGGAATTAATTTTATATTAAAATTTGATATTGAAAGAGAAAAGAGTAATTGTGAATGAGAAAATTTCAAAAAGTAGCAGATAGCTAGATAGGTATTGTAAACTAATTTTCTTCCTGTCATAAACTGATCAGAATTTATTAAATTTACTAATAAAGTAATTCCGAAAAGGGAACACAGCGAAACTGACCTAAATTGGTAAATACTATGAGCTTTAAATATTACTCATTAATCACTGATTAAATCAATCTTTATGGTTTAAGGGTAAGAAATTTGGTAACCCTTATTCTTCGTTATCTTTCTTCTCCGTAAGTGTGAAGAAAATAAAGCCTTTTAAAGTAACGGAAGGGGTGTTTTAACCCATTCCTCTTGAACATTTTTCCAAAGAATATTGTAGTTCGACGTTTGGATATTGTCCATAGAACAATCCGCTTTTTTGAAGTCCCAAACCGCAAAACTCCATGGGTGATACATCAGAAGATTAGTTAGGAATATGAGTGAAGGGTATATATAGCCTTGATACCCGATTTTGTTCCACCTTTTTCCAGGAAATTAGTAGCCGATTTTGAAGTGTGGCTGCTTGTTTTGTCTTGATGCCGTTCAACTGATTAATGGTACTATGAATAAATAGAAGTTATTTCTTATTTGAATATTGGTAAAAAAATGTGTTCCTGATAATATGGAGAGTGGATCTTAACATTTTCGCCACTCTCTTTATTTTTAATATGCCGTTATATGAAAAATCAGCTACAAACATTAATCTTTTTGAATTTTTTCCTTTAGATTCTTCAAACCATGTTTTGATATTTTCTTTTATGATAATAAATGGATCTATTTTTATTGATGTAATTTAAATACACCCAATATTCATCTACTGTGATAACATTTTTCCATTTTTATCCGAATAAATGTTTCTTATGAAAAATTCTGCAGCGCATTCTGGATTCGACGATATGTCGTGAAACAGACAATGCATGTTATGCTTTCTCGTCTTTTTTCACTTTGTTTATAGTTGATACTGAGCATTTTAATGAATTTACAGCTGTCCTTTAATTTGGCGGATTTTCTTTTAAATTAAAGATCTTGCCTTTGCAACATTTGAAACATTTCCTTTTTCCTTGAATATGTATTTGGAACAATTCTTACACTTGAAGCCAAACTTAGAAGTTCTTTTCCCTTCCTTACTGACAGTATTACCCACTGTAGCTTTAGGGTTCAAAAAAACCATGGCTTTCACAGCACTTTTTATTAACTAGATAAGAATCATTTTCTTCGGAAAGACCACAAACATATCCTTTCATCCACTCCTTAAAAGCGTCATTTTGCATAGAAACAAATCTGTCAAGTAGTTTATACTTTCAAAGATATAGCTGAATTAAAAAATTTCGAAGCAGATGATATTTTATAGCAAAGTAAAATCGTCTAAAATATGTGCGAACAGCTTCTGAATACACGTTACAGATTGGGTAAACCACGTAAACGTCCATGATGTCAGCCCTTTCGCCTAGAATCGAACTCACGTCGGAGATACAAGGGTCCATCGATTTTACCGCTCGGCCGCTGGTGGGCACAATTTTAACTGACCATTTATTGAAAACTCGAGTATCATTTTGAAATGTGCATAGACAAATTTCATCATTCACTATAATATCACTAGACTGTTTATCATTATACTACTATGTAATACTATTAGACTATTCATTTAATACCTTAATAGACTAACAAAGGTAGTTAGGAAGAAGTAAGAAAGTTTCTTGTCCTCTATTGCACACTTTCGTTGCTTGAACATATTTCAAATCTTGCGCAACAATATCATGTACAAAGGCCTGAAGCTATCTGACAGCAAATCATGAAAATTCTGGGTAACTGTTGAAATTATGCTATATATCCCCTGACAGTCAACCTGCACTGAATTTTAATGTTAGCATTTTTATGAAGACTTTCAACTATATGCTTATGTTTTAAGATGACAGGATTTTACTTCCAAATGTAGCGAAGTACCTTAATCTGCCAGTGTCTTGTTCATCGTATTCAGGCAGATTGAGCTATCCTACCTTTTTCACACTCCAGCTCTTTCTGGTCATGGACTGTGATCAACAGAATGCAGTGTCATGCATGAATACACCTTTTTATAGACTCATTAAATAATCTTGGAGGATGTGACGTATAAAAGTACGTGCCCTGTATTTGCTCGCAAGAATTAATGGAAATTTACATACACGTGAAAGTGACCATTTACACATAATCATTTTTCTGAATTACCTTATCTACTTCTCTTAGCTAAAACGGAAAGGAACAATGGATATTTCCTTTTATTTCGATAATTTAGAGTTTAAATAAAATTAGTATTTTTATTACTACATAAAATGCATTAACATAATAAGTATTGTTTCAATGAAAGCCTGCAACACGAAAGGTTGGAATATTAAGTCCCCGTTAAATTTTACGTACTGACATTGAAATACTGATTGCGTCCATGAAGCGTTTATAATTTATGACTTTTGAGAAAGCCAGGCAAATAATTATAACAAATCTGCATATTTTTTTCATTATCGTTCTCATTAATTTTGTCTTATAATCGTAAAAGGATAGATATTCTAAGTAATGGTCTATTCAACAAAACAAAAAAAAAATTATACATATTATAAGTAATGGTCTATTCAACAAAAAATTATTTAAGAAGTTATTTATTATTATTATTATAGCTCTTATTAGTAAAAATTGCTTTCAGATTTCTGATGGAATACTAATTTTTATTATACTAGCTATTACCCAGCATACGTCGTAATGCCACTTAAAGGAAAGCAAGTGTTGTATTTTAATTCTGTTATGAAAAATTTTCTTTATGCCTATTTGCATGTTTTGATTGGCTTGTGTCACCTGATACCAAGGTTGATAATGGTTTGGATGGTAAATATTAATTCTGGCAATTAGCTGTAACATAAATAACTAGAAGTATCTCGTCGGGCGGGCGAAAAATATATAAGACCGGAGAGAGTATCAGTTTCTGAGTTACATTTATTATTCGCTAGCTCAGAGCGACTTTAGAGAGCTTCGCCTTTTAGACGCGCTTTGCGTTCGGTTGTGCTTAACATTCCTTTGAAGTGCAACTACTGATTGTGCTGTGTGATACTGTCAAGAACTGTACCGATATTTTGTGGAATGTTCCAGAACTATGAAGTGTTTCCTTGGATAAAAATTAATTTTATCAAGCTATCATCGGTTCTGTGCGCATTCAATCTGTAATGAACCGTATATCGCAACAATATATATATATATATAATATATATAATGTTGTAGGCTTAACATTACGAAAATATCAGTAACATTTAAATTCACAGTTTATATGCATGATAGTAACGAAGTTTAAAAGAATATATGCAAAAACAATGGCCACCCCTTTTTTTATTGAAAGAAATACTTATATAAGAGTTGGAGAAAAACGCAAAAATTGAAAGTTTTGATCTTCAACTGCTATTAGCAATTTTGTTGACAATATCCAGGAGAGTCTATCAATGTCCAGGAGAAGTCATTTGCTCGATTCGTTGAGGTGGCGGTCGATCAGATGGATGGAAATGGGGATGTCACAAGCTGAGGCTTCTAGACGTCTCAATGTCTCTCGTAGTGTGGTCCACCGACTATACAATCAGTTTGAATCCGAGAATTCTGTGTCTAGAAGACATGTTCCAGGTGTACCTGGAGTTGCAACACCCGCAGGAGACCGTCATTTAGCTCTTTCGCCCCGAAAAAGGCGTAACATTACTGTGCCTCAGTTCATGGCAGATCATTTAGTGACAACAGGAACAAGAATCTCAGCTGCTACAGTGCGCAGACGCCTGCCCAATACAGGTGTATATGCAACACGACCAGTTAAGACACAATAATACGCCGATTCTGAATTAGTAACATGACCAGTTAAGACACAATAACACGCCGAGCAACAGTTTTTTGTTGTTTGACTTCTGAATTAGTAACACGACCAGTTGTTTGTGTCCCGTTGACCGAGGACACAGAGGTTCCCATTTATGTTGGGGAAGAGAACACGTCTCCTGGACCAGTCAACAGTGGGCATCTGTTCTCTTCACAGACGAGTCCTGGTTCCCACTGGAGAGTGATTCAGATCTTCAGCTGATCTCTCGGGAACAACGCACCAGATACAACCAATCCCACATTCTGGAAAGACACTGTTACAGAGGTAGGTAGTGTAGGACGACAATAAGCGACCGCAGCGAACTCGGGTTGCTGAAGAATATCTTGAGGATCT